GGGGGGGGGTGAAGGGTGGGGTGGCAGCGGGGGCCGTAGCCCCTCAAACAAAAATTTGGGATGGGGGGCAGAGCCACCCCACGTTTTGGTACCGACAAACACTTTTGCTGATGTACTTGACAATACCTGTGACATCAGCGACTTCAGAGCGCACATTTTCTTCCCTGAGACGACTCGAGAACTACCTAAGAAACAGGAACGCCTGAACAACTGCCAACTAATGCCTTGTCACAAATCTATTACGGACACACTAGACACTGTGAAGATTGCTTATGCCAACAAACAACGTAAAGGGCAGTTTGGAATTTTTCTCATTATTCTTATTTTTTTGTAGGGGTATGCGTATGGCTGAGTGGAAGATGAGCCCCACTCCACATTTTAAAACGCTCCGCCGCCTCTGCAGTTCATTGAATTAAACAGGGAAGAAAAAAACAAAACAAAACAAAACAAAAAACACCAAATGCAATATAATTACTCAAGCTTACCGTTCGAGATGCAGCTCGTGAAAGCCATCAAGTAAGAACAGAATCACTTAAGACTTTCCAACTCTTTTTACGCATCCAGCAAGGCAAATCGAAGTACTAAGAGTAGCTTATTTTTGAAAACGATGATTTCCAATTACTTTTTGTCAAGCGGCGCATTTCTCAACCAAAAACCCAATAAACAAACCAGCCAAGAACAACAAAAAAATCTTGATAGCAGCTGTGTTTCATTTTGTAGATCCAGTGCAAAAAGACTGTTAAAACATAAAAAGATGACACAAAACTCTGTCAGCTACAGCTATTAGTAAACAAGTCTGCAAAAGGTTTTTGCTTGTTGTTCGCCCGTTAATTCTTGCTGTCTGCCTGTCTCCTCTTTCTCTTTCCCGTCGCTCTTTACTCATAAGCAAATAGGTTGAATTCAATCCACTATTATTTGTTGCCATAACAATTTTTACGAAGCAGTTTACTAGAAACTGAGAACCACGGTCACAAAATCCTTATGCTGTGAAATACTTGAAAACAAGTTCCTAAAGGTTTTGAACGCGACGATAATTTGGACGAAAAAATGTATTTGCTTCAAATTTGATTAGCGCAAATATGATGAAAATTTGTGCAAACTGAGGAAAAAATCTGAACAAAGGTGGTAAATGCCATATTTGCATACTATTTACACCCAGATTTATTCCTCAGTTTGCACATTTATTGCGCATTTCCCGCCAAGAAAATATAACATACTCTTTTTTTCCACGGGCTGACACCTGAATTCCTTCCCTCCCTACCCCCAACGAGTGTACGGAAGGACGGCGTACGCTGATGTCAAAACAAAGATTTCTTGGATGGATAGCTTACTAAATTTTCTTAGATATGGGGCCCCGCTCGCGCGCTTCGCACTTCTCTGTAATTATTGTTATTATTATTATTATTTATTAATTTATTTATTCATATTAAATCACTGACACACTTCTGCGATATCCCTCAAATAGCCGGCCATTGTACCAGGTCAATCAATTCTTAAAGTTGGAGTTGTGTGTTTAGGATTTTAGCGTTTCAGACTAAAAGTCAAACATTTGAACTGCGGAGACTGATTTTTGTCAACAAACACCAGCTTAAAGTATTAATGAGTATAGTACACAGATTTAGCCAAGGCTAATAGCGAACCGTCCCTTTATATACTTTTAATTACATGAAACCAAAAAAAAATATACTTAACTGATTAAAAAATATATATATAAATCAAATTCGATAACAGTGATGGTCTTGAAAAAGAATTTCTTACCAATGCACCTGCGTCACTGAAAACACCCTCTCCCATCCCCCCCCCCCCTAAACTCCACCACACCCTTTTGGGAAGCTAATAGCCCATGAAATTTAACGTTTTGGCTTTCGGCGAAAAGACCAAGAAGGTTGATAACTTAATCAACATGGCCCAACAACTTAAAGGAGATCATATCGATTCAATCGCTAAGATGCGCAGTCAAAACAAAACTCTTGAGGCCTCAATAGCCTCGCTTTCGAGCAACTAGACCCGGGCCGGCCGAGA